AATTTTAGCCCAACTAATCATGGCTTTTCACTAGAATTACCTCTTGATATCAGTGTACAATGATCACATGATGACTAACAATATAAACGTTTGGAGAGATTACCGACACTGACTATTAGACAGTGATTGATTCTTTGTTTTATTGTACTGATAAAGTCAGATATATATAATGACTTATCTTACTCAATATTTTAGCCAGACTGTTATCATATAAATCATTCAATAATATCATGTAAATTTCAGAGAGTTCCTAGTGATTTATACAACTTAATCTTATGATACTTTATATCCAAAGACGTGACAATATAAAGTTTAAAAAACAACTTTGTATTCAGCCGCCACTTTCAATGCACCTATCACACAACCATACAAAAGTATCGTAACTTTAAGGGTATACAAAAGTTAACTTTAGTCATGCTTGGATAATTTCCACACAAAAATCAATTATTCAAAGGGGGGAAATACTGATTAGATTCTCACATCAAGTTATGTCTATCTAAAAATATATTATCTAAATATCAATATATATATACCATATTGCTATGAGTAGCAAATACTGGGAAGGTTTGGACTGTTGGCTATACTTTTGTTAATTTTCCAGAATATCACATAAATATTGCATAATATTATTCCCGAAAGACATGTCTACATCATCAGGTTAAGCCCAAATCCTTACAACTATTTGGTGTAGGCTGTGACCCATATTAATTTTTAACAGTTGTACAACCGTTTAAATGAATTTAGTAAGTGGTTTAAACTAATTTCATAAATGAACAATCTTCACAAACCTCCTGTACTAATAAGTAAAGATTAAAATTATATCATGTATTCGTTATTTGATTAGAAAATATCATACTACTTGAAAATATATAAGTAACCACATTGTGAAATAGTCATTGATATTGTGAATTTTGACTAATGACTACTTAGCATAGAAACCCTTATGGTTATACTAGTATATTAATAATCTACTTATGAAATTAAGTGCAGACAGTGTTGAACAATTGTATAAAACAGATTTAATGTGACTTTAAGTAGACTGTGTGACATACCTATCGTCTTATCTGGGATAAGTCAGATAGATGTACACGAATCTCAGAGTGTATGCTCAATCCAACATATGAATCAAGTATCTGTCACTACAAATACTAACGTGTTATACACTAAACTACTGAATACAGATTGACACTCATTTGTATAACAGGTATCAATTTCAATTGAATTTGTAAGGATTTGTAGCAAGCATCCCATTGTTGACATTCAATTTGGAACGTACGTAAATTTAACTGATCGCTTCCATGTATGACGAAATGAACGTTCTGTAAGATTGATTGGTAGTTACATTCCATTTATTCTATATAGACTTGATTCATAATGACTATATCGTGGTAATCTATACAGGCTTCAAATATGTCAACTAAGACCGATCAAATCTCATTTAAAATATCAACTTTCTGTTTAGAACAAAACAAACACTTGTTTACACACTAAAAAAATGAATAACAACAATTTACAACGATTTGAACTGAAAACAAATATCAGAATAGGTTTTGTGATTATTATGGTAATTTTAAGAGTCAAGATCATGAGTCAATTGAAGCTAGACCACCATGCACATGATTCCAGGTTTTCCATTGTGGTCTAGCTTCAAATGACTCATGATCTCAACTATGAAAACAAATAGTCTAGAATAATAATTTAATGATTTGAAGGTGTTACCATAAAAATTCCATTAATAAAATTGTCTAAACCTTAAAATCTTTTTATGAGTCCTATAGTACAACTATAGATTTTTCACTATGGTTGAATGTTAATAGATTCAGAATAATTATTATAAATTCATGTCTTATTCAATTTACATAAATTTCTTAAGTCATACCACTTACATCTTTTATTCGGGATTAAACGCGGAAGCTATGATGTAAAGTCTTGGGACTAAAGTTTGACTGATGTTCACACCAATGATTTCGAGTACTTTATGGAGAAGATGTATACACACCCATCGGTTAATATGTTTGATGCGATCGGAATTAAAAAGAGAAATATCTGTAAAATAGTTTTTATTCTTGGATGTCTTACCAAATAGAACAAACACAGAAAAGTTGAAAATACCGATATATAGAATGTCAAGTCATGACAATCAAATAGTAGATTACACTAGTAACAACCTAACGGTGTACTATGCAGAAGGACCAAAATCATTTGCATTACTCTCAGTGTTCAGTTTGGCTTTCGATTTTCCTCATGAAATCACGGACCGACTATACTTCAACAATTACCAAAAAGCAAGAGGCTGCTGTCAACTGTTTGACCTGAGTATGGGACTCTTCAGAGATCCCCATCTAGGACCAACCGGCGGTCAAACTCATAGTCTTGCATATCTCTCATCGATCGATTAGCCTCTAAACCGCTCACTTGGCATCCAGAGGTTTACATTTCTAACTTCAGTCGACTCGTATTATCCTCAGTCATCTTCTAACATGAAGACAAAACAGCTAACCAACACTTCATAGTTTTCAACAGTTTTTAACTAAGGTCACTTATCAATGTTAAACTTCTTAGTCCTTTCTTATTCAGTTGAACAAAGTTCTAAGTCGATCTTGAAAGATTCCCACATTATTAATGATAAGAATAATTCTGATTATAGTTACTTTGACTAAAAACAACGAACAAGATTCGCTATTTTATTATTAAGATAGCTTGGTGAAAACAGAATAAATGTTGGACAATCAATTGAATAGAACTCATCACTATACATCAACTTCCTTGATTATGGGAAGACGTTTGATAGCGTAGATAGAAGAACCTTACGGAACTTTCTTCGACACTGTGTTGTGCCTGAGAAAATTGTTAACATCATCTAGAATTCATACGACGGACTGAACTGCAAAGCCATGCATGGAGAACAGCTGTCAGATGCATTCTAGGTGAAGACCGGAGTCGGACAAGTATGCTTACTCTCCCCCTTTCTCTTTCTTCCGGTGGTTGACTGGATTATGAAGACCTCATTTGAGGGGCAGCACAAATGACCTCTTCTATCCCATACACACGAACAAATGCAGATGAAGACAACTAGTGTAGCAGCAGTCTCTGTATCAGTAGGCTTCAATATGCACAAAGGAAAAAACGAGATCCTCAAATACAACACGAAGGGCACTAAACCAATCACATTTGATGGAGACTTTCACATACTTGAGAGGCATCACCGATGAACGAGGAGGATCTTATGCAGATATAAAGACAAGAATTGGCAAAGCAAGGGCCGCAGTCCTACAGCTGAATAATATATGGAACTCAAAACAACTGTCAACCAATATCAAAGTCAGAATCTTCAATACGAACGTCAACGCAGTTCTACTGCACATAGACGAGACTTGGAGAACCACTACAACCATCATCAAAAGGGCACAAGTATTTATAAACAATTGTCTATGCGAAATGCTGAATGTCCGTTGACCAGATATCATTAACAACAACTTACTGTGAGAAAAAACAAATTAACATCTAGATGAATGAGAAATCAGAAAAATACGTTGTAGGTGGATAGGACACACACTGAGGAAATCATCGAACTGTATCACGAGGTCAGCTCTAACCTGGAATCCTGAACGGAAAGAAGGAAAAGAGGAAGAGCAAATAACGCACTGCTCTGGGAATCGGAAGCACACATGAAGAGGATGGTTTGCAACTGGAAAGGATTGTTCAGAACAGAGTTGAATGGAGAATGCTGTTGAATGAAAACAATCAATCCTCATAAAGAAATGACAACAACAACTTTATTTATTGACTAACATTTATATATACAACAAATAACTGTGTGCAATCTTTGTTTTGATACTAAACTTTCAAGTGAACATATGACAATCAACTTATCATTTAAATAATGCCAACTTTTGGTTAATTAATTGATCTTTATTAAGATAATGTCAAAGTATAGGTTTCCTAATGCTAATAATGTGAAAAGAACAACTTATAAACGTTGATGAACAAGCGATTATTGTCATTTGATTTACTGCATAGCTCCTAGAAATTTGAAATAAAGGATGCTTTGTTCAAATCTAGTCAGAAGGTTACTTCAACTGAAAATAGATATAACTATCTGATTTCCATTAAGAATGAAATGTTTATTATGTACTTGTTGGGGTGATCCGGCAAGTTTCTCTCAAAAGACAAGCAAGGATCAGGAAACACTAAGAAGCGTTTCCCCCAATCAGCGTTCACCTGAAGTTTTAGCTAAAAATATCAAGGGAGCGAAACATCACATGCAAAGGGTTTGATTGGCTGATTGCTACTATGTTTAGTAGCATTCCAGAATCTTCTAGCAACCCAAGGACATTTAAAACATTATAAAAACCCTGTATTTTTTGTATTTAAATAAACCTTGGAGTAAACTACTTCTCGCATACTTTGCGTCTTCTCTCTCTCGTTGTTCAGGTCGCTGTATAGTTCTAGCTTGGGGGTTACAGAATAGCTTAGGAAACGAATATAACGTTCAATACGCAAGACTTATCAGTACTCAATTCACAACTGAATAAAATCAAAACTCTAGCAAGAAATAATGATAGCGGCGATTGGATGAACACATTACATAGTTTGTTGCGTAATATAAATATTTAGACTTATTCATATACTAACATTAACCAAAGCAATGAAGAACTGTTTCGTCCTAGTCTAAGATTAGTTAAAATTATTAAATGACAATTGTAGATTAGGTTCGAATCAGAATCTTCATGTTATATGGTTAACATAATATTAATTAGTTAGTGTTAGAATTTTTCTCAACTTTATTCAACATGATCATCATCAACTGTATAGGATAAGTATTAGATTTATTTCTGACATAAATTAACCAATGGATCACATGGTATCTCAAAGACAGACCAATCATAAACTGTTATGCATCGAACTAATTTCAGATTATGTAGTCAGTTTCAAGATATATCATATTCTATCTACAATATGTTTAACATTGTTGTGTTTTCCTTTTCATTTCTTTCTAGTTACATGATACTTAAAGAAGCTTATCAGTGTCAAAACCAGCATAAATTTTGTTATGGTTGTATATATACTTGGTCTACTGGACCAACAACTGGTCATGATAGTTGTCCAGTATGCAGATGTGATGGTTTGTATGCAAAGAATTATGATGTAAGCTAAATAAGCGTATTTTAATTCATTATATTATCATTTTCGGGATTTATTTGACTCGTGAAGTACATAGAACTCTGGGTAGTTATCTAGTCCTAGTGTAAAATTGCTGAGAAGAGTACATTCCCGATTCACATTTCATACTTCAATTAATTCATGATATATTGTGAACATATTAGTAGTAAGAAGAAACATAGTTTATGGTTGTAGAATCGAAAAGTTGTTACATACTAACGATGATAGAAATTTGTAATGGTACGCTAATAACAATGCTGATTTTCAATTTACTCTTCATAATCACTGTTAAGTCTATCGAAGCGTCCAAGTCACCCGATTGAGATACACGCAAAACCGAAGTTGGCAAATCAATGATTTGTCTACAATAGCGGTTCTTTATTAAATAATACACAACATTTACTTACAAACCTCAACTTGTGAGGTATCTGGGGCGTTTAAACACATCCTTCAAGTATGAAAATAAAAAGGCTTCTTGTAACAGTAACATAAAGAATAACTATAACATACAATAGTAAAAAAAGACAGCTGGTAGCTGTGTCTAAATTTGATAATAGTTTATGAGCAACCGAAACTCAAGCCAAGAGCAAAACAATATCTCAAACCTTAGGTTATAATTAACGTTTCTATATTAGTTACGATGACATGTAATGTTATGTGACAGTTATGCATACATAATACATATCCTATTTGAATAATGACCACATTTAATAATATAATTTAACTAAATAGTTATTCTTATGTATCTTTCTTCTGTGAATTTTTGTAGTTAAACGAAAGAATCAATAAAAAACGTATTCGATGTCCAACAGATGGTTGTAATTGGATGGGTTCATTAAGTGCATATCAACAACATGAACATCGACGTTATAGTCCATATGAATTAGATTTATTATTAATAGATTGTAAAAAAGATCAAATGAAATCATCTTCATCATCATTACTTCCAATAACAACACAAAATCAAATGGTACATAATAAAGAAATACCTATAAAATTCAATGATATACCACAGAGAAATGAATTATTACAAATCAATAATAATAATAATAATAATAATAATAATAATAATAATAATAATAATAATAATAATAATAATAATAATAATAATGATAATAGCTCACTACTTCACAATAATCAAATGAATTTGAATCTTGGACAAGTACCTACTGTATGTGAACCAATAAGTCAATCAACTGATCAATTATCTGAGACTTCAGCTCAAAGATTGTTAACAACAACAACAACGGCAACACAAAGACAAATACGGCCATTAAGAAATGGGAATAGGCAAAGACAGAGTAGAATTCAAAATCGATCCATTTTAAGTACAAGTGAGAGTGTAAATCAATCGGAAAATAATAATAATAATAATAATAATAACATGGAAGAAACAAGGATAAATAATTTACATGGAACTACTAACCATACACGTACGCAGGGATTACAAAGTGAACAACATCAACAAAGAATTTTAAACACACCAGTTCATTCAAGACGAACAAGATCACATGTAGCATCAAATACACATATAAATCAAACAGCAAATAATATTGGACATAGACAACGAATTAATGTAAGGGATTCTAGAATACGTGTTGAAAGATTACCTAATTTAAGAAGACAACGACAGATAAGAAATGAACAAATACAACAATCATTAACTCATGCATCCACTCAAGAATACGATAATGAATTTAATTCGACTGAAATAAATAGCTTACTTAATGTGAATTCCAATGATATTCACAGTCAATGTTTAGAAGAGGATTTTATGGGAGATCATACCGAGTTAAATGTAACGGATCAACATTCAGATAATCAAATTAATCTTCCAGCTATCAGATTTAATGAAACACTCACTTGTAATTTAAATACACAGCCGTTACATAATAATAGTAATGATGATAATAATAATAATAACACTCAGACACTTTTAATAAATAATTCAGTACAACGAACAAATCGACCACTTGAGTTTCGACGTCTAGTTCCTCAAAGACAAAGAAGAGTAGTTGAACAATTAAGAGAAACACGTGAACAATTAGCTGCAATGCTTCGTCTTATGACTATGGAATTAGAAGAAAGACAAAATCGTGTTTTAATTCCAAATCTAGATAATAGTACAAGAACTCGACCGTTAAGAAATCCAAATAATTTATTTTGTGAAAATACGGAAGATAGTACGCCTACACCATATGTGAATAATACAGTAAATCGTGAGTTAACGGAATATAACAATCTGCATACTTCAAACACTCCAAGAAATGTTCACAGAACAAATGTATATAATAATGATATGCAAGAGAATTATTACACATCTCAGTCAATTAATTCAAACATTCTTAATTCAGTTAACAGTAACAATACTAGAGACTTATCGCGAACACTTCTTACACCGACCTACAGGGAGCAAACTATTACCAATCCTTTCGCTAATTTCAATTCCCAACATAATAATAATAATAATAATAATAATAATAATAATAATAATAATAATAATAATAATGGTAATAATCAGTACAACACACCTGTAACATCAACAACTAATATAACACTAACGTCTTCATCCCCATTAATTTCAACAACACGATTATTAGCAAGATTACGTTTGAATGCATTGCAGCAAACATCCCCAATAGTTTTCTTTACGTCGAACAATAATAATAATATTACTGGAAATGTAAATTCATCTAATAGACAGGAAATTTTATCATCATCATCATCATCACTGACAACTACAATGTCATCTTTATTGACAGGTGATAACAGTAACAATGATAATGAACACAATCATGACGTCAGTGATGATGAAACAGACTGAAACAATCAACGAATGTTTCATCTGGTGATTAATGAAAAGATGAGAACTATTTTTGAATAAATAATAGCCATATAGATAATTAAGTGTGCATAAATATATATACAGAGATAAGAGGTTTCATTCTATCTATATAATCAAATAACTGACAAAAAACACTTTCAAATATAGCACTTCGAGAGTGTTTTTACTTTCTTGTATTAACTACTACTATTACTATTGATAATAATTAATCAGGTTTGTACTTTAATGTCCCAGATATTGAACTTGTAATTTACAGAAAAATTGAAGCAATTGTTTACAAAGAGTTTAGACTCAAATAAAAAGGGTCTATTATTTTAGTCCTTGGATATCAATCAAAGAATATAAACTGATATCATATACATGATACACTTGTTTAATAAATTATAATGAGTTAATGGCTGCCCGGCGTTTATACGACTCTGGAGTAATACTAACATGGTAGACCACTAAAAATGACTAATTAATGCCGAGCTGGTCTACCGTTAGTTCATAATAAGACAAAGCTTCGAATATTTCCCCACCTATCAGAGAAATCAATCAGGAATTATTTCATTTACTTTGAGAAATATTTATGAATATATGTTGTTTTCGATTTCATTTTGAATACAAACAGGTCAACAACCATTGCAATTCTTAATTAGAGGATTTAAATAGATAGCTAAGAAATAAACATTCATTGGTGCTTACACAATCTGTAGTTAAATTATACTATTCAGGTGGGATATTTGTGGAGTATTCGACTTCAAGGACTGAAAAACAGGATCCAATCAGGTTGGGATTGAGATATATCAACATTCTTGTCGTTACGTTACCTGAGCTAAATGGTCTAGTTCTGGACATCAGGAGTCTACTTCGTGTAAACTAGAAGTTTACATAAGCCTTATTTGCCCATCGGGTGGTTATAGGAATTAGTGAATAATGGTCTCGCCTTTTCTCGATATGGTCTTACTAAAAGAATCCCAATAGCTATTTCTTCCTTGGTCCTTACGGCTGCCTACTTTTCCATTTCTCCTACTATAAATCCCTGTTACTATTGACGATCCCAAGGTAATTTTATTAGTCTACGTTTGTGTTTTCGTCGCTCATCGCGGTGTTCAGAGCCTTATGGGATACGCTTCTGAGTATATATCAAATCGTTAGATGCCACCAGAATCCACCAGTCTTTCCTAACGTTTGATTAAAGTGATTGGTAGATACTACCTTACATTTACAGTTGATTGGATATCAACGCAAGATTCCTCACGATAAACCTTCTCTACGGTCGATTATTTGCTTAGAGAATTCTACTTTGAACGCATTATTGACCTCACTTTCAAATTGATATCTAAAGAGTTTTCTTAGGTTGATTACAATGTATAGAAATGTGCGCTCTCACTAGGGCAGTATTTTAGTGAGAATTCCAACAATCGTTGGTAACACTGATATATTTGAGCATATTTCTGTGTTGACGTTTAAATTTTGCACTTGCTACGATTAATCGGTTGGTTAAACAAAGTTGAGACAGACAGTCATCATTATCTGCTCTTTGAACTCGGAACTCATAGAACTCACATGTTTTTCGATTCGAAAGCTACCTGTAAAATTCATACCTTATCACATTCAAACCATGATCAGTAATAATGTAGACTAGCTCTCAACAATTTTTTACAACATATAAGATCAAACTATGTCGATCCTCAGGAAAGTCCTACTCATTGCTTTCTCGTAGCAGGAATGTTGTTTACGAAATCGAGAGGACGAAGAGCGAATGTCCGGCGCTCTAATTGGGTTGATGGATATACAGGATTCACCTAGGCGAGTGTGAAAACCCTGATTCCAAACCAATGGTGCACATGGGCTCCATGATCCTGAGTGAACAAATGGCATGTTAACCAATAGTTGGTCACCTGCTACCATGAGACGGCATCTCCTTACATTGCTCTGCTGCCTTGTGGTTTAGAACTCTAGGTCAAAGGCTCGAGGAGTGGCCTCCTAAGAAAACTACCTGCTTCAGTTTAGGTGCTCGGACACTATTCCAACCCTCACACAAATTGAATGATGAAGTGTGGAGTATATGTATTCGGTGCTCCCATGTACCAATATTTGTGTTTAAATAAATATATTGAAAAAACCAACAGCTGGTTGGAATTTAGTTAGCAATACATAAAATCATCTTCAGTTTACATTTTAATTAGTTATTAGTTATATTAAGTAATTCAAAAATTGTGAAACAAAATCTCAACCCATCTAACTAAAATATATAACCAAACAAAAATCACAATGAAAAGAAAACAATTAATTATCTAGGTAGATACACATATATATTTATATTTCATTGTCTATCTCGGTTATAATCACATATGAAACAATGCATAACACCAATTCAATCTGTGATAATCTCTTCATGGAAACAATATGTAAATGTTCAAATTATACAAGTGATAATGGAATTTAATTACTCTGAAAATAAAATGTAATTTTTTATAATAAAAAAAGGAAAAATGTCTTCTTTATTTGTGTGTTGATGAATGGAAGCAGCAAAAATTATCATCATCATCATCATCGTCGTCGTCATCACCGTCAACATTTATTGCTGATTGATTTTTACTGAATAGATAAAGTTGCTGATAGATCATTTATAGCTTTCAATAAACGCCTAGAATAATCAATCAAATCTACCGGTTTAACATCTGCAACAACAACACGTAAACGTTCTTCATCCTGTGTATACACAAAAAGAAATTAAACACAATTTAAAGAAAAGTAGAAAATAACTGATAATATAAGTTGATATATATGTGGAAAGAAGAGATGTTAGAAAATCTTCAGAAAGAGATTTGGAAATTTGCTGATACAATCAATAATTCATGTGTTATTTTTTTAACGGTATCTTTTGTCGAATAAACCACATTTTATAATTTGCGAGTTTTTACTAAAGTATTCAAAGTGTTTACACTTTACCGTATATTTGTCCACACACAATAATAACGCGACTAATTTCAAATTAGGTTAACCATAGTGATATTTTAAGGAACGATGATTTGAGGAATCAATCAATTCGGGAATAGGGTATCAATTCACTAATGATGCTGAGTAATTTAAGATGGTCAGCAGGAAATCTTGTTTGATCAAGGTTTTGTATTTATTAAGAGACTTGGCAACAAGACGTACATGCAGGCTTGAAATTAGATGAGGAACATATTGTAGTAGGAAATTATTGGAGTTTGAAATGTGGATCATTAGATTTCGATCTAGCAGAGCTTGACTCGACAACTCAAAGAACATGATAATACAAGTCAAACCAGAAATAATACTATGAGGTGTATGTGTGTATGTGTGGAGATCCTCTTAAATATATTTTTGTCCTTCTGCCTATCCATGTACCGATACAATGATAATAAAGAAAAGCACAAACCGGTGACCGATGAAAATCGACAAACATAGAATGGGAAATAAAAACACTTAAACCAGTATATTAAAAAAGAGAAATAAGAGACATCAACAACTTCTTACATTATAACGATCAACTTTAGCTCGTAAACGAAATATCCATGAGTTAAATGCTGACTCGATGAACACTTTTTCCAACTGTGTTTCATCCTAATGAGAAAAAATAACGAAAGAAACAACGATTATCATTAAGTTTGAATTAGAAATATTTTTGAAGAAAATTTCCAAAGATATTTGTTGAGTATAGTGTTCTAGATAAATATACCAAATCAGTTGACGATTGAGTGAATATTCATCAGCTACGGAAGTTGGGACATGTGTCGTATATGCCTAACCACTGTCTATCTATCTGGAAGGGCAATGTTGTCTGATATAGGCTGAAAGTTAGAGATGGTTGAACGAAAACGTGGTATCAGTGAATTCAGTGATAGCCGGACTAAGCAGTACGCAAACCACTCGACTAGGGTCTGCGCGGTTATCATAAGCAGTGGTTGTAGGCGTTGAACAATATGGCTCAAAATAATCCGCTATTGTGCAGATGCATTAACTCTTTGTCTTCTTTTAGATCGAAAATCTTCAAATTATTTTAGACTTTTTCGCTTCCTTCGATAACTTAATCCTTTCCACCTCTATTGATACCACTACTATCTCTTTTCCTGGGATAAGCACTAAAGGACTAGATAAACGTAACTATTCAATGAATAATCAATTGTACATAGGGAAGTTAGTTTAATAAACCAAATATCATAAAATATAGAATAGCTGACAAGACCAGAGGAAGAAATATTTACTTGTGTTGACTTCATAGTGCCCAACTTTTCAGCTGTCTGTCCCAGTAAAGCTTCAGCAGCGTCTTGGAAACATGTAACCCATAAATCTCCAGTGACGTCAGCAATTTTGGCCTAAAAACAGATTTAAATATTTAAAAATTGTCAACGTAAGTAGATGAACAGACTAAATTGAATATTCGATACGGTTTGTATTAGAATACACAGTTCAAATTTTCCTTAGAACGGTATGATCAACTTTATAATTTTGAGTTACGTTTTTCTAAACTGACCAGCATTTATCCTACACAACCTTTCGAAAATACTTGAAAGTATAGTTTCACAACTGCAATTCTGAGTAGTGATCAATCAATATTCCAGTCCTACAGAAGAGAAGTCGAACTTAAAATAACTCAGCAATAACACCTACGACTATAGAACTGGGTGACCTAGGTTAAAATCTACCAGAGCATATTAGATCCCTCAAGATTGTAGCTAAACCTTGTTGATTAGTACCAATTAGTATGAAACCAATGTCAATCAAATTCTACTGTCAAATACCCTCAACCATCTAACAACTGAAATTCATTTTATAAATCATTAAGATTGTACGTGGATCATAGTGGCAATGATAATAATTAACTTGATCAGCAGTGGAGTTATCTAATTTAAAAGATAACTCACTCTGCAAGCTTTGTAACAATTAAAACTTGTTGATTAGCAACTTTGGTCCTAAGAAGTTAGAAATGCCATTATCAACTGAATATCTAACTTATTGATAAA